AATAACACAGCAATGTAGTTTATTGTTAGTGTTTTTGATACCGTGGTACATCATTAAAATAATATATATTTTTTTTTTTTCCAAAATGTTCTACATAATTAAACAGTTAAGATGTAAACAGAGTCGTTCCGAGTGGTTCTCTGTTCTAGAGAAACTTACAGGGTCAGAACTGTTCACAGTGGTGGTGATAGGAACCAGACGTCCACCTCTAAAAGCTCCCTCACAGAAAGTTACTACATGAAATGGTTATCAATTCACTGCCTGATGACTGAGACACTGTTTTATGAACTGTTTTGAGAACTTAAGCTCCATTCAATGAGAATCATATACACTGATATGTACTGTTCTCTTATTTCCCTTGGAGATCAATAAACTAGGGTTATCTACTGTCATTAATATTTGAATGTTTGAACATAACTCCTAATAACTTTCAGCAGTGTTCATGCATTCTGTAAGAAGAGTTTGTCTTTCTTCCAATAAATGTATTTCTTCTATTAAAACAGAAATATAATGTTTATTTCTATGTCTGTCCTATTAAACCTGCATAAACGGCTATGCTGAAATCACTAAATACAGAGTTTCGACAGCAGATGGCGGAACAGTTCCGCCTACATCAGCACTGAGTCTGAAACACAGCTTTATCCCCAGTTCCTGCCACATTTACCAAAAACTGATTTTTCCATCTCAGTAACTGTTTTATTAATATGTTACTGTAATTCAGAACTGAACCCCATCAGATCATCTGTGTTTAATAAAAAAGAAAAAATTCCACTTGTCGATCTCGACTCCTCTAAACAATAAAACACGGCTCTCACTCTCAATCATACCAATCATTTATATTATATAAATATAATATAAATATATTTATATTATATCTATGGCTAAGTGTGTTTGCGTGGCTGGGAGCAAGAATGAAATGTAAATAAATAAATAAATAAATAACTATATGTAGTGCAACTATGGAAACAGATATTTGTGCATAGCAAAGGTTTAATGTTCATATTTTGTCTTATTTGAGGTGGAACTTCAAACAGTGTCTATACTGACATGTAAATGCCTATAATTGCCAAATACACAGATAAATCTTAACCTTTTCACTTGCAATGTTTTTCAGTCCTCTGTGTTAATAATGAACTTTAATTGAATATATTTAAGTTCTATTTTAGTTTCTGGTGCTGTTTTGAAAGCTGGCACTCTTTTATGGTGTGACTCTTATGAAAAAAATGAAGGTGATGAAATCCCAGCAGGACAGATGAGCACATCACTGAATAAGTGACTGATTTTCTCTGAACATTGAAACCGTCGCCCTGCATTTTACAGTGAAATAAGAGCTGCAACACTGCTTACATAATTCAGTTGAAATGAATAAATGTGTAAAATCTACTGGCAAATCAAAAGAGAACTAAACAGCACTGTAAACGCGTTATTAATGACAGTACATAAGCATAAGTAATTAAATTATTGGTGTAACTGAAAGGAAATGCAGCAAATAACACAGCAATGTAGTTTATTGTTAATGTTCTTAATACCACAGTATAAAATGAATTCTGATTTTTACATAATTAAACAGTTAAGATGTAAACAGAGTCATTCAGAGCCTTTTCATTGGTGGTTCTGTGGTAGAATTCTCGCCTGCCACGTGGGAGACCCGGGTCTGATTACCGCTCGTCGATTTTGGGGGCAGTCGTGCGCTGGAGGTTAGGGAACCAGCCAAGGTCGCCGGTTCGATCCCCTCAGCTGACAATACGTGACTGAAGTGCCCTTGAGCAAGGCACCCAACCTTGGTGCCTTGGGCACTGTGGATATGGCTGGCCACCGCTCCAGGCAAGTGTGCTCACTGCCCCCTAGTGTGTGTGTGTGTGTTCACTAGTGTGTATGTGGTGTTTCACTGCACGGATGGGTTAAATGCAGAGGTCTAATTCCGATGTGTTCAGACACAGTTGGCTAAAGAAAAAGGTTCATTTCATTTCATAGTGGTTCTCTGTTCTAGAGAAACTTACCTAGTCAGAATTGTTCACAGTGGTGGTGAACCGGACGTCCACCTCTAAAAGTTCCCTCACAGAAAGTTACTACATGAAATGGTTATGAATTCACTGCCTGATGACTGAGACTGTTTTATGATCGTTTTGAGAACTTAAACTCCGTTCATGGTGGAGGGATACATGCAGGGCGCTGTGAGGCAAAACAGTAGAAAACTTATTATTTCAGATTTTCCACTATTTTCCATCATCAACATTCCATATAAACTCAGAAGACTCGTGTTGGTTCACTGGTGGTTTTGGATAGTAATTAAAATGTCTATATCTTTGTTGTAGTCATGGCGACCCCTGCTTCCTATCACCACCACTGTGAAGACATCTGAACCATTTCACACCAAACCACTCTGAATCACTCTGTTTACACCTCTATGATTAAATTATGAAGGAATTTCCCTTTAAAAGCAGTGACTGTCCCTAGTTTGGCTACAGGGGTTTTACAGTAGCTCAGGTTTTAAGGTCTGGGCTGTGGATCCAGTCAGAGGATGGTCAGACGTGTCTGAAGCAGCAGAGTGAGGAATTAAACACTGGGGTGAAGAAACAGCTCAGCTGAGAGCTTCGTGTAGACTGAAGTTAGTGAGCTCAACCCAGCAGATCTGCTTCTGACAGTCTTTCCCATCATTCAGTGGTTCATCTTCTCCATCTTTCCTCCTCTGAGCAACCACAACCAGAGCCGGTTTATGAGGAGCCTGGCTGCTTCCTATTTCTCCCGTTATATTAAAAACAGGACTGCTAAACAGCAGAGGGCGCCAGCGAGGGAGTCCTCAATGAATGGGAGTGAATGGAGCTAAAAACGAAAAGTTAAAATAGTTTCTAATCACTCGCCCAGAACTTTCCTTTAATTTTAGAAAGTAGAAGGATGTATTTCACTAAAAAAACAAAGAAATCTCACCTATATATTTCCTTTTTTTCTACAGCAAACGGGTTTTGGGCAGCAGAAGGCAGGCTTTACTGCTAGAGCACGATGATTGATTGGCGAGCGGAGAAGCTCATTGGCTGTTCGCGCTCACAGACGTCATGGACGTACATGAGGCGACGTTTTAAACTCCTCGAGTTTAAAAGCTCTTAAAAATATAACAGCAGTGTTAAAATGCTTTATGCTGCTCTGTGTTCAGGAAATGATTGCATTCTTTTACATTAGAAATGTTTAAACAACCCATTCATTCTGGACTCGCTTGGGAGCGCCCTCTAGTGTTTGAAAAACCCAGAAGACATTGCAGAGTGAAAATTCTCCTCTCTGCAAATTCTTAGGGGTTCATTAAGATCAGACTTAGCAGGAAAAGTCAAATAAAAACACTACAGTCAGTGAAAGTTAGCAGGACTTCGATCTTCTTCTTTCTGATTCCAGAGCTTCTGCTTAGTCAATACAACTAAATCTGTTAGCAATTAATGAAAGCTAGCAGCTACTGAGCACTTCATTCAACCTTCCAGCCGTGAAACTTCAAAGCCGTGAAACAAGAACAGACCAGAGAACGTAGATCTCTGTTTCTAAACTAGCCAACAAAAACTACAACAAATTTTCTGTTTGAATTTTTATTTTGGAGGACTTTTTATTCACACTGAGCATGAAATACAGCTCAGATGCTAATGTATTGTTTTCATACTTGTTTTTCAATTGAAGCTTCAAAAATGCATTAAAGTTACAGTCATTCGTGTGTGAAAGTCATTTTGACACACAAATACACTTTTATTTTAAATTTAAATTAAAGTGTTATGAAAAAAGAACAATTTTTGGCCATTTTGGATGTGTTAAAACAAAAACACTGTGACACATAATGTGTTAAAACTGCAAACACAGGTCAGTTTGTTTAACACATCACATTTTAGAGTGGAGAATCGTCCAGCGAGCCCAGCACAGTTTTTACTGTACTGACCATCAAAACCTTTTAAAAATGTTTAATATGGTAATGATGCTGCATTCATGGACAACAGCAAACTGAACATTTCTTGAACGACTTCTCAGCTCCACGTGTCATAAAAACACTTGTGTCAGCAGCATTGCTCAAAAAAACGTTAAACGAATTGAAATGCTGAAAGGAAATAGCAATATTTGTGTTTTCTACATACAATGTGAGTTTGAAGCTGTATTTTCAGTGGAGTATATTTTTAAAAAGCTCAAATTTGTGGCCATTTTGTCAGCAGTGTTACAGTCGATATCTGATGTTGTTCAACATGACAGACATTTAAAATTACACATAGATTCGCAGAATGTCCCACTAATTATCGATTAATTTGATTTCATACCAAGTTTCAGGTGACGTCAACAGTTCTAACCACCCCCTCCCAGCCCAATTCCAGATATCAGACACCATTTATTGTGATTCACCTCTTTTCCAACCTTTGCACGTTTTTCTCTGCACAAAAAATCAATTTTAATCGATGTAAGTTATGTTTTTGCCTAACAACGAGATAAAACTTCGATTTTGAGTTGTGATTAGGAATAAAATGTGCTTTTAAACACAATTTGGATTTTTAAAAAGCTCAAATTTGTGGCCATTTTGTCAGCAGCGTTACGGTCATTGGCGATACTGATCTTAAAATTACACCTAAATTCGCAGAATGTCCCACTAATTATCGATTAATTTGATTTCATACCAAGTTTTAGGTGACGTCAACAGTTCTACCCCCCTCCCCCCTCCCCCTCCCAGCCCAATTCCGGATATCAGATACCATCTTATTGTGATTCCTCTCGCTTTTCCGACCTTTTCTCGTTTTTATCTGGACGAAAAATGCATTTGATCGCACATCGTTGTTGTTTTTCATCACTGTAATGCGATTCCGTTGTGTTTAGAGCCTTATTTTGGGGTTTTTTTCCGGTACAAAGGTGCGACCTGCCTCTACACGCTGGATGTTGGAGAAATGAGTAAGAAAAGAGGCAGCGTGAACAGCAGATAAGCTTCAGCCAATCATAGGCGCTGATTCGGGTGGCATCAATCCGCCTGGCCAATAGGAGCGCAGGAAGCGGCAGGATAAAACCGCATCACGGCGAGGCTGCATCCAAACCTCCGCGGAGCAGAGCAGAGTAGAGTAGAGGACGGCTCTACATTAATAAACATCCAGTTTTATAAAGAATTAGTTTATCAAAACTGCGGTTTATTAAAGCGGTTCGGTTTCTAAAGGTAAGCGCTGTTTTATTTATCATCATTTAGCTTAAAAAGTTGAACCCGGAACATGTTTTTAAACTCTTGCTATGTGGTTCATATGTATGTTTTTTTGCCTAACAACGAGGTAAAACTTCGATTTTGAGTCGTATTTAGGAATAAAATGTGTTTTAAACACAATTTGAATTCGTTTTATACCTTCAGTAACGCGAAACTTAAGTTTTCTCCCTTCTTTACTGGAACTCTCCGTTCCACCTTAAATGAATAACTGCTGCGCCATTTAAGGTGGAACGGAGAGTTCCATTGAGAACCCAACTTCAGCCTTGTGGAAACGGCTGAATCTCATGCATGCATGCATATAAGGAGAGTCTGTGGACATAAATTAGGAAAATAAGTAAAAAATGCTGTAATAACCCGTGTTCTGTTCTGCCAGGTCTGATTGAGGATGACTGAGACGACCCTTGAGCCCACCATGGTGGAGGACGTGTTTGATGAGTCCTACAGGGAGAAGAAAGGGCCCAAACCTCCTATGGTGATCGTGTGGAGAAACGTGGTGCTGATGAGCCTCCTGCATCTAGGAGCCGTTTACGCCCTGTTCCTCATCCCGTCCGCCTCGCCGCTCACCCTGCTTTGGGGTACGAGCACCAACATCTGCACCTACATTCACAGCAGGAGGTCCTCAGATCTGTCATTTACACATCTGTCCAGGCTGGTTCTGAGACAGATATCGGGACCGAGTCCACCTGAATGAGCTGGTTTTATTATAAATGGAGTAGGATCCTAATTTACTTTGGGAATTTAATAAAATCGTATTACTTTAGCTTAATTTAAAAGTTTTCCGATGGAAGCTCAGATTGGTGAGAAGGCAGCAGTGTGTCAAAATATTGACTTATCATAAATTAACGACTTGCTGTCTTGAAATATTGACATAATATCTCAAAATAATGACTTGCTGTCTCAAAATAGTGACACATCTCAAAATTATGACAATACCAAAATAATGACTTTCTCAAAATGTTGACTTAAAATCTCAAAATAATGTTCTATTTTTATAAATTATTGGTGTATTATCTCAAAATAATTACTTTCTTAGTTGCAACTTCGTATGTCAAGATAATGACTTACTTTCTCAAAATATTGACTTAGTATCTCAAAAATAATGACTTGTGAACAAATGAATAATGTCTCAAAAGAATGGCTTGCTTTCTCAAATTGTTGACTTAGTATCTCAAATTTATAAATTATTGATGTAATATTTCGAAATAGCTACTTTCTTAATTGTAACTTCGTATGTCAAGATAATGACTTTTTTTTTTTCCAAAGTATTGACTTAATATCTCAAATTTATGAGATGATTTACTTCTTTTCTGTCATAATAATGATTCACTTCCTTTCTGAAGACTGAGAAATACTGTGTCAGAATAGTGAATTTTAAATGTCAATAAAGTGAGTAATTATTTCAGGATAGCCTAATTATTCATCCAAAGATACTAATTCATTAATCTGACATAGTAAATTGGCATTTTAAGAAAATAAGTCATTAATTACTCCTGCTGTGGAGTTTTTGATGTTCCTCGTCTGCTGATTTTCTTTAATCTGTGTCCTCCTCCAGCTCTGCTGTGTTTTGTGTTCAGCGCTCTGGGTATAACAGCCGGAGCTCACAGACTGTGGAGTCATCGCTCTTATAAAGCCTCACTGCCGCTCCGCGTCTTCCTCACCTTCGCCAACTCCATGGCCTTCCAGGTAATCGGCACCAGCTCTTTATCTAGAACCCAGCAAACTTGTGCTCTCTCTGAGGAGCAGAGCTTATTTCTGATGCTCTTGTTGACATTTGAGCTCTTGAAAAATCACCGAAGAGTAAAATTTAAACTTTTAAAACGGATAAAAAACTGCACATTCTGTCTTGAACTGGAGCAACGTTGATCGATATGTTAAAACAAAAACACATTTTAGAGCTGATAATCGTCCAAAGAGCCCGGCACAGTTTTTACATTAACTCTGACCATCAAAACTTTTTAAAACGTTTAATACAGTGATGATGCTACATTCACGGACAACTGCAAACCGGATATTCCACTGGAATAGAGCCACAATGGAAAACACTACTTGGGAAACCATAGAAGCCAAACGTCTTGTTGACACTCGATCAATTACTCGCCTTTATCAAATACAAAGCTGTTTAGATTTTGCCAATTTTTTAAAACAAAAACCTCAAAAACTGAAGGAACAGCTGATAACAGTTCTTCAAATCCGGTTCTAAATCCACAGGCCACGCCCTCTTTCTCCTCCTGCTGTGATATCAGAACTCAAACCTTTCAGGTGTTTAAAGCACCTTATAGAAAACCATATTTAAAATCTGCTCTTCATACTAAGGAGATCCTCTGATGGTCATGAAGCTCAGAGAGAGCGGCTTTAGGATGATCTGAACCTGCGCAGAGTTTATTACTTCATTAAAAAGTAACAGAGGAGATCAAACATTACTCAGAACATTTCAACAGAGGGCCGGCGTCACTCCGCCAGACTCCAACAGGGTTTGGTCAGATGGTCAGTCTGCAGTGACTGTGCCGAACTCTAAACAAACTCTGTCAGCATCGCCAGATACACAAACAGTAGTTTCATAATTATTACATTAGCATTGAGCTTGTCTGTGGTCCAGATGTTCTGGGTTCTAAAGTGGGTCAGGAACCGTGTCTTCGCTCCGGCGTGGTCAGTTCAGTTACTGAACTCTATTCTGCTCTCATAAATCATGAGGAGTGCCGACTGTACGACCTCGAAATAGACGCACTGATCTAAACCGGTCTGTGCTGAGGGTTTAGGGGTCTAAGGGTTCAAATCAGGTTCTGGAGTTCCAGTTCTGACCATTTCAAAGTCAAACAGTCCAAATTCAGAAAACTGAAGCTCCTCTAAAATGCACAGGAGGTTCTTCACCTGCAGGTTTTAGAATCTTTTTGTAAAAGCTCTGTAAAGAAGTGTCTGATCCCTGCATGTGATAATAGGGCTGTTTCCAAATTAAAGCGATAGTTCAGTGACAATTTTAATTTCTCCAGTATTTACCCCAAATATAGCCGATCAGCCAAGATGTGTTTGGTGTCTTAAGTTTGCTTTTTTTGGCTTTAGCACTGGAGCTATGAGGATAACGTTGCTAACAAACAGAGGAAGCTTATAGTCCATCAATTGGCACAGTATCTCACACTGCATGACACACCTTTATCTGTAAATATGGGCTAAAGAATCTAAACGTATTGTGTGGTGTGTAATGTGTGTTACTGCTGTGGAAAACGTTGATTTAACAGCAGGTTAACTTAAAAAATTAATTAAAGAATTCCATCAAAACTATAATCAGCCTTTATCCCAAGTGCAGCTGCTGCACATACAACATAATCAAGAATTTATCATATCAGCTGCCAATCAGGAGTCACATTTTATTTTGAGATGAGATTTTGATGATTTTATTCATTAAATACACCAACACTTGGTTTGTTTTGCTCGGTTTCTCTCTCTGGAACAGAACGACATCTACGAGTGGGCTCGAGACCACAGAGTTCATCATAAATACTCGGAGACCGACGCGGACCCCCACAACGCCGTGCGGGGCTTTTTCTTCTCTCACATTGGCTGGCTGCTGGTCCGTAAGCACCCAGACGTCATCGAGAAGGGAAGCAAGCTGGAGCTCAGCGACCTGAAGGCAGACAAGGTGGTCATGTTTCAGAGAAGGTGAGTGGACACAGTGGATTGATGGTTAGATGGATGGGGGAATATCTTCATTGATCTCTTGTAGATTATAGATTTGCTGAGAAAGCTCATTCTCGGCTACATCCAGACATCAAATTCAGTTCTTCAGTCACCATCCTTCTCCGATACTCTCCAACTACACACGAATAATGCAGTGAGAATGTGAGGGAACGTTCCAGAGCAGAGGTCACTAATAGGTGGACCACGGTCAGAGTCCGGACCCAGACGCTGTCCTATGCGGACCTGGACCTATAATCGATAAACTATGGAGAATTATTTAATTTCGACGGGGTGGTCCTATTTTAATCGCCTTTACGGTAGCTTTAGCGGCCCGGGAGACTCACAGACCAATCGCATGCGTTGTACATATCACACGTGACGCTACTCAGCCAATCAGATCTGTGCATTATGATGAGCGCCGAGACTCCAGTGAGTGACTCACACACAGGGGAGGGATGAGGCGAGAAACAGCAGTCAGAGAAGAAAGTGAGTCAGAGGGAAGTTGTTTCACATGATGTGATCTAAAAAGAGAAAACTGACAGATGTTGAAATATGACTGATTTTCAATTTGTTTGATTTGACATTCAGTTGTTGACTGTATAAGATGTTGGTAGACCTACCAGGCTACTTCAGTAAACAGTATATAGCAAGTTAGACATTATGATGTTCTGGACCTTTGCTTGAGGAAATTTTGTCTGACTGGACCTTATTGAATTTTTATTATTATTATTATTATTATTATTATTATTATTATTGGTATTATGAAATACCCCTGTTCTAGAGGCTCCCAACACCCACACACAGGTTCTGCACATCAGGCTAACATTTGAGTTTGAGTGTTGGAGGATGTTGGACTTCAGGGTTCACCAGAGGAAGAGTGACATAGTTGAGCTCCACATCACAGACCTTCAGACCTGTCAGGATGGGAATCGATAAGACTTTATTGATACCAGTGCCGTTATCGATTCTGCTTACCGGTCTTATTCTTTATCTTTATTGATTCCTGACCAATTTTGTGATAGGCCTACGCAGGTAGTCTGAACACGGCGTAGAACGTCTGCCATGTTAAAATAAATTAGTGGTCATGTTCTGAAAAGGATCGAACTCGGAAAACAAATATAAAACTGACTGATAAACAGTTCTTCTTCAGAAACGTCTCCTCCTTGTTTCAGGTTCTCAGCAGCGTAGACGCAGTTTGATGCACGAGCTTTTGCGAACACGCTGACTTTGATAAAAAGAAATTGATAACGTCGCCGGCATTTGATTCTCAACTAGAACTGGTTCTCGATTCCCATCCCTGGCTGAGTGGTTGGTACAGAGGTTGGCGTGTTGGGCTGCTGGGTTCCTTTGCTGTTTCTACAGAAATGTCCCAACAGACAGCGTCACCTCAGTACTGGGCCCTGTGTGTGGATTGTAAGACTCCACAGTGAGTCCGATCTTTGGATCTGAGCCGTTTTCTCGTTTGCTGCAGTTTAAACCAAGAGCATCAGCAGCTGTTTTTCTGCAGACTCACTTTAAACTGACTTAGTTGCTGTAACCTGTAACATTGTGAGAAAAGACCAGCGTCTGTCAGCAGGTCTGTTTGTCCTCAGTGCCGTTACAGGGTGTTCAGCATGTTCCTATAAGACAGTATAAAGTAATTATTCCCGGCTGTATTATTACTGTGAGTACGTTACTCTGATGAGTTCAGGCAGGTGTTTCTCTGCGTGCTCGGTATGCGGCCCCGCCTACATGAGTCGACCCTGAGGGCAGAATTATGGGAACGAATTACCGGTGCAGCATAAACTTTCCCTTTTACTTTAATTGAGCTCTTCATAAAATCTCTTCTGGGAAATCTTTAAGTAGAAACTCAGATAAAAAAATTCTTAAACTGTAAATTGACTTTTAGACCCAAACTTTATTTTACCCACCACCCAAATAATACCTGCTCTGTGGGGGTCCTGTGGGGTCCTGACTTAACCCCAACCCCAGAGTATGCAGAGGGACAGATGAAGTAACTGTTGGACATCTGTCTGGTTGGAGGACATTATAAAATAGTGAAATAGACCATGAGTGTAGATACAGGAACTTAACGCTGTCCAGCACTGACTCTGTCCAGCTCCTGGAGGAATCTGTCCTGGTGTTTAAGCAGGTCTGCCTGTCTGAATATCTCTCCTCATCATTCTCTCTCTCTCTCTCTCTCTCTCTCTCTCTCTCTCTCTCTCTCTCTCTCTCTCTCTCTATCAGATTCTACAAGCCGTCAGTGCTGCTGATGTGTTTCGTGGTCCCGACGGTGGTCCCATGGTTGCTGTGGAACGAGTCTCTGTGGGTCGGGTTTTTCATTCCCACCCTGATGAGATACGCGCTGGGGCTTAACGCCACCTGGCTGGTCAACAGCGCCGCCCACATGTGGGGGAACCGACCCTATGACGTCAACATTAACCCCCGAGAGAACAGATTCGTCACCTTCAGCGCTATAGGTACGTCATCATAAACCCCCCCCAGCCCCCCTGAACAGCTGTGGCACTGTAGGTTCTGTAGGTTCTATTGGTTTGTCATCATCAGGCAAACATGGGTGTTTTGTTACAGCCCTGTCAAAGTAGGCGGTTCATTGCCTTGTTAAACCACAAAATCCACCAGACCAGGGAGCCACCTGGTCCCTGGAGTTCTACCACCCTGGAGAGTTTAGATCCAGCTCACCTGGCTCTAAACCCTGCAGGGTGGTAGATGTCCAGGACCAGATTGTCAGACCACAGGCTAAAGTTACATTTAAAACTCTAAAAAAAATTCCAGACTGATCCCATTTAAATCCATCATCCTCACTTAAACATGTTTACCTGCTGCTTCTTTACTGTGTTGGCACAAACGGCAGAGAAAGTAACGAGTGTGCAGGAGTTCAGTGAGCTCCGTTTGGTTCAGCAGCAGCTTAAAAGTTGTAGTGTGTGATCCCCAATATCTCAGTCACCCAATAAATCTGCAGAAACCAGCCTGATAATGTGAGACGCCCAGTCTGTTATAGCCTGTTAAGACTTTAAAAGTCGTGTAGTGAACCCGAGGCTTTAGTCTCGGCCTCAGACGCTCCACCAACATGTATGCTGGCGGTCTGATATCTGTTGTATGAAAGTGGCTGCGGCTCTGGGAGTGTCCTTCTGATTGGCTGTCCCCTCACTCGTGTGTCCACACTTCCTTGCGCTGGTTTCATTTTGTCAGAACAATTTTGTAAACAGTTACTTGTGACTGCATCTTTCAGAGCTGGCAGCAAATTCACTCCCGTCACAGCATCAGATCTGTAGTTCAGCCGTTTCTCTGAAGTATCTAGATGTTAGAACCTTTGACCCTCGTGTAGTTTATTGTTAGACACTTTGGCTTCATCAATATTAACCCCACAGAGAGCAAACCGGTCACCTTTAGCGCTGTACGGCGTCTCTTATAGTAAACTACAGGTCAGAGGTTCAGAGTCAGGATCCACACTAAAGTTTAACTCTGGTTTCGGTTCTTGCTGGACTGTCGTGCTGACCGACTGGCCGCTGTTCCTCAGACTGTGTTGTTGTGTTTGTAGGCGAGGGCTACCACAACTACCACCACACCTTCCCCTACGACTACTCCACCAGCGAGTATGGCTGGAAGCTCAATCTCACCACCTGCTTCATCGACCTGATGTGCTTCGTGGGTTTGGCCCGGGAGCGTAAGCGGGCGGCTCGAGAGGTGGTCAGAGCCCGAGTCCAGCGCACGGGAGATGGCAGCCACAGGAGTGGCTAAGAGGTACAAACGCACAGATCTGATACACAGCGAGCAATCTTTTATGCTTGTTCATTTAATAAAATGTTCTTATGATGGTAACATTTTTGAGGTGTGAGCAGTTTTCATTTTGTTTAAAATTTTTTATTTTTTTTCTTTTTAAACTGAATTTGTAATCATGTGTATTTTTGCTGTTCATTTCCAGTGTTTGTCTCGACTGCAGCAGTGGAAGTTTTGGCGAGGCGCGTTCTGAAGACGTCTTGTCTCTAGCGCCCCCTGTGTTGTGGAGGCCGGAGCGCTGAGTTCCTCAGCAGACGAGCCAAACCCCCTCCAACGGACTCAATCACATGACGATTGTATATCAGGAACACTGCAGTCTGAAAATCTGAACTCTAAATAAGACACGTAACAAATTAAACTTGCGATGCTCCACATGGTGGAACATCTGCAGTTCTGTAATGAGCTTACTGCTGTATGTAGATGATATGAATTCATAATGATGGAGATATATTCTGGAAGACGTTTAAAAACTGTTAAATCTGTTGCAGGTTGGAGTTTGGAGGGTTTTTTTCTTTAATTATTATTTAAGTGTATAAGATGACTCTGCTGAAGAAGCAGCAGCTTCAAACACACTAAATTACATGCTGAACCACCAAGCGGCCTTTAATTCAGTCTGGAGTTAAAGCTGATCTACAGCTGCTGTACCAGCCCCAGGTTTTTAAAGGGAAACTCCACCTGTTTCTCCAAAATGCCCCCATAATTAAGCACTGAGATGTAAATAGAGTGATTCAGAGAGGTTTGGTGTGAAATGGTTCAGATGTCATTACAGTGGTGGTGATGGGAACCAGGGGTCGCCATGACTACAACAGAAATATAGACATTTTATTTACTATCCAAAACCACCAGTGAACCTACACGAGTCTTCTGAGTTTATACGGGTGTTGATGATGGAAAATAGTGGAAAACCTGAAATAATAAGTTTTCTTTGGAGACTATTTTTCCTCACAGCGCCCTGCATGTATCCCTCCACCATGAATGGAGTTTAAGTTCTCAAAACTATCATAAACAGTGTCTCAGTCATCAGGCAGTGAATTCATAACCATTTCATGTAGTAACTTTCTGTGAGGGAGCTTTTAGAGGGGGACGTCTGGTTCCTATCACCACCACTGTGAACAATACTGACTCTGTAAGCTTCTCTAGAACAGAGTGTTTCACACCAAACCACTCTAAATGACTCTGTTTACATCTTAACTATTTAATTATGGAGAGAATTCCTGGCAGAATTCCTGTTTTAAAATGACTGGGAATTCTGTAGGGAATTAATATCATTAAAATGAATGCAAATGTGGGACAATCCAGATCGGATCTGTGTCAGAAACAGAAAATGAAATGTGCCGTAATTCATTGGTGCTGTTTGTGTTTATGTAGAACATTTTCTTTGCCAAAATTGCAGCCTTTAAAAAGCACTTTGTCTTTATGAGTTTGAAACGTTAATTATTGATTATTTTTAAAAGCCTTTGGCTTGATCTTAATTGTGAGAAACTCTCACAGATGCTTTGTCATTTAGAGTATTTCTGAAAGACCTGATGGTCTTTTGTACCGTTATTGTGTTTACAGATAAAGTGTGTGTGTGGGGGTGGGTGTGTGTGTGTGGGGGTGGGTGTGTAAATGCTGATGCTGAAGTATCTCTTTAACAACCGTCTCTGACACTAATGACAGTCTGTTCTGTTGAGGTTCTGATGAACTGGATGCTCCTCACAGTATTCTGTACTGAAACACCGTTTTCAGATGAAATCATTTAAAACGTTCTGATTCTGCTCCTCTGTGTGTGTCAGACTGTATTTCATAATAATTTTATAAATAAATATTACAAACTGCTGAGCTGTGTTTCTGTTTATAACGGCTGAAGTTACTGTAGAGGGAAGGTTACATCACACTGAGGCCCATTTCACCCCTCGCCCCTCCCACAGCCCTACACCTCCGTGTAGCGTGTTCTCGTCTAGGGGTAGGGTGACCCGATTCTTGTTGAGATAGAGGGGCAGGGTGAAACGTTGGGGCTACACGACCCTCCAAACAGAGAGTTATGAGAAAAAACAAAATCTGGCAAGAGACCAAAGAAACCCACAAATGTGAGAATTTTGTCTGTTAAAAATCACGATAACCACTGTATTATCTTAGTTTAATGTCGTTTCAGTGTATTATGGTCCTTTTCTTCATAACAAGCATAAAAAAATCATTAGTAGTGCTGATGTCTCAGTAGCTAGCTGGCTAAATTTCCCGTTCCACCTTAAATGGTGCAGCAGTTCTGACGCCTGAGGTGCCAGAATGTAACTGCTGCTCCATTTAAGGTGGAACGGGAAAATTCAAACAAGAAGCTGGTGAATATCTGACTTCAGCTTCCTATCACTGAAGAATTAGTGGTGGGCGATAATAAATAATTGCCCCCTCTTTGAAAGCATGTGATGTCCTAAATGTAACTAAAGCCCAGCAGTGAGCAGCTGAACTTTACCCTCCTCTGCTGTCACTGCAGACTGGCAGGGTCGCCTACAGAGCAGCGCTGGTAGCTGTTAATGAAGTAATGCTCTTTTTATTTGAGGGTCCCATTTCAGAGAGAAGATTTCAACCACTACCCTGTAACTCAGTTCTGAGGGGCAATACTCAAAAACAAGGGGGAGGGGTAAAAGTAAGAAATGGGACTGGGCCTGAGTGTTCAGTTTATTCTGTCCACCTGCATTACTCGTCTACTTGTTGGCCACTTTATCAAAAACGCCCACCCTACACAAGTTTGTGTTTGATTTTCTAATTCATCCCCCCCCAAATAAAATGGTTCTTGAGGATTGTTTAGTAAAGAACTGTTTTTATTTAGAACCATGAACACTCAAAGAACCATTTGCATGATTAAAGCGTTCATTGCCTCTTGAAAGTTTCTTCAGATTGATTGTAAATGTGCTGTATATAGTTTATATATAGAGCCTTTTTGAAAAGAGTTCTATTATTATGGTGTCAAGCTGGTCAAGAACCCTTTTTGATGCTATATAGAACCATATACAGCACATTCTCCATCAATCTGAAGAACACTTTCCATCCTTTCCAAAGAACCATTTAATCATGCAAAGGGTTCTTTGAGTGTTCATGGTTCTATATAGATTATATTTTTACTAAAGAACCCTTGAAGAAACATCTTTTTAGGAGCGTAGAAGATAAGTGAACACACCCTGAACACATTCTGCACATTTTAGTGCACAATTACTGTTTCTTTACTGAATTTAACACACTGTGCAAAAGTTATGGCACATTCAAACTCAAATAAAGCGTCCCATTTCTTATTATTACCCCTTGTTTTCGAGTCATCTTGTCCCTTAGAACTAAGTTTTACAAAGGGTAGTGGTTGAAATCTTCCCTCTGAAATGGGACCCTCAAATAAAAAGAGCATTACTTCATTAACAGCTACCAGCGCTGCTCTGTAGGCGACCCTGCCAGTCTGCAGTGACAGCAGAGGAGGGTAAAGTTCAGCTGCTCACTGCTGGGCTTTAGTTACATTTAGGACATCACATGCTTTCAAAGAGGGGGCAATTATTTATTATCGCCCACCACTAATTCTTCAGTGATAGGAAGCTGAAGTCAGATATTCACCAGCTTCTTGTTTGAATTTTCCCGTTCCACCTTAAATGGAGCAGCAGTTACATTCTGGCACCTCAGGCGTCAGAACTGCTGCACCATTTAAGGTGGAACAGGAAATTTAGCCAGCTAGCTACTGAGACATCAGCACTACTAATGATTTTTTTATGCTTGTTATGAAGAAAAGGACCATAATACACTGAAACGACATTAAACTAAGATAATACAGTGGTTATCGTGATTTTTAACAGACAAAATTCTCACAGTTGTGTGTTTCTTTGGTCTCTTGTTCATCTTGTCAGTTTTTCTTTTTTTCTTATATCACTCTGTTTGTCTTTGAAAAACCTTAGTTTGGAGGGTCATGTAGCCCCAACACTTCACCCTATCCCTCTATCTCAACAAGAATCGGGACACCCTACCCCTAGACGAGAACATGCTAAACGGAGGGGAGGGGCTGAGTGGGTTGGAGTGAAATGGGTTTGGGCCTTGAAGAGATGAGACTGTTGGGTTTACAGTGAGTTTAATGTGTTACAGATCAGCGCTGACTCAGCTTTATTCAGCTAATCACTACAATAACCTGCATATTAATAAGAGAATCTGCTCAGTATGAATATCTCATTATGAAAGTGCTGTAACAGTAACGTCAGTAAACTCTGTGTGTTTCCATCTTAATGACCTCAAATCTTTTATAACTCTGACTTGTTTCTAATTTTGACTGTGTTTGTTTCAAACATTATTTTTTAAATAAAGCTGATTTACCTGCTGGTGAAGTCTGATGCTGCTGTAACGCAGCGGTACTGAACAAAATCAAACCATTAAGTGTTTCTGTTGGTTCCTGATGGTTTTGTAATGTGTTTTGTCTTTTTAAATGGGTTTATTATCACAGTGTAAAGGATCCTAATGGTTTAACAGGCAACCAGTGGCTGATTCTAAATGCATTTGATGGTTTCCTAACGGGACCTAAAGGTGTTCTACAGGAAACTAGTGGTCACTACGGGAAACCATCGAGACAATTCCCATTAGAAAGACAAACCATCAGGTTTTAATCCTAATGGTTTCTTGTTTAGTCCTTTAAGTTCTAGATATGACCTGAGTCAGTGGAACTCCCCGGTTCTGTGTGATTACACTGTGAAGCTCAGGGTAGATTAGACAGCCTGCAGGACTGAAGGCCGAACGAGCTTTAACTCCAGCTCTAACTCACTCAGCACAGACACTGCAGCTCTGTAGTCAGCAGTGTTGTTATTACTGTTTGACTCACTGATCAGAACCAGAGCAGCAGCACATAGAACCACCAGAACCCACATCATCAGCTCAACCACAAAACTATCAGCTGAACCCATACGGGAAAAATATATACGACAAATGTATTTACCAAATATATTTTGCAATGTATGAAAATGGCCAAAAACGCATTTATTAGTTATTAGCTGTGCTCAGTTTTGTGTAATAAAGGTTACAGATGTAACTAAACCATACTGACTTCTGTGATCTGCAGTAAGGCTCTCACACACAAGGTATTTCAAATAAACAAGATATCAGATCATAACTGCATTTTCACAGAGTATCAATACCCACAACACTCGCTTCTGTCATGTTAAAGGTTCATTTGATCATATTTAAAATTAAGATACTGTAAGATGCTGGACTGTCTGGAGGAAACAACCGTTAATGTGACCTCACAGTTCACTGATATGTACCTGTTTTTATTTCAGGGCATTTATTGCTTCCTGTAACACACACACACACACACACACACACACACACACACACACACACACAGCATGGACGCTGTGACTGAACCAGGTTACTTAAGTTTACACACACACACTCCCTCTCTCTGACTCAGTATGTGTGTGATCAGTTGTAATCTCCAGGTAACTAAAGTTCACCATGAAGTTCACACACACACACACACACACACACACACACACACACACACACATACTCTGATTCAGTGTGTGTGTAAGAGATATCCAGGTAACTTAAGTTCATGCTCTCTCCTTGACTGGGTGTTGGAGCCTGTGTGTGTGTGTGTGTATCTCCAGGTAACTTAAGTTCATCTCTCTCTCTGAAGTTCACAGTAACTCGGTCAGTTGTTACATCAGTCCTGCAGCCCCAGCTGAACTCGCCAGTCGCGTCATAGTTTTAATGGTAACTTCTTGCATGTTTACGAGTTTTTGAGCTGATGAAGTTTCGGCTGGTGAGCTTTATTTACAGTACAACCCCAGT